AATTTAGAAGGTTTCATCTGTAAGTACCTATTTCCTTTATAAAGACATTTATTTATACAATAGACACACTAAATACCCTAAACAATTATTTATACGGAATATCTCAGCATAGAATAGTGTTTCAAATTTTATTTGTAATTCCATCTTTTTCCATTTGTGTTCTAATATATTATAGATTATCGTTATATATGTATTTCTGTTATATGTTTCTGCTCTTTATTAATTTGTAGCAATTACTTCTGTGCTCTTTCTTTGTGACATTCTTTCTGTTATATCTCATATTTCTACAAACAAAAGTGATAATTACAATCTTTTCTGCAGAAATTGTTGCAAACGAACATATAATCAAAGGAAATATCAGTGATTAGAGTTCGTTGGATCCAAATTTTTCGAGGCTGGATCTGATTTGGCACAAACCCGACAGGCTCTAACAGTGATAAACTAACTGAAAAAAAAATAGATCAAAATGTTTCTCTTGTATTAACAAGTGATTTTTTATTTCAATTACGTGTTATCGACAAAATTCTTTCTATAACGTCTTTTTACATTAATGCTATTTTTTGAGATCAATAAAATAAATGAAAAAAAGAAAAGTCGATTCATCATCTGTTAGACTTTGCACTTGTTGAAAATGAATTCTTTTCACGATTCAAGCTCTTTGTTTAACCTCTCGAATGATAGAAATAAGAAGATCGATAGCTTCTTCATATCAATTTCGTTTTATTAATCACAATTCGAAAGCGAAATATTCAATTTATATATCTCTAATGAATCATTATTGATTTTTCAATAGATAATATCATGTATTGTATTTAGAACATGAATAAATTTCTATCCCTACTTAATAGTTTCTTGTTACATATGTCTTCAAATAAAGTTAACTTCTTAATATTGATTTGTTTATCTTCTTATTACATGCTACTCTAATCTTTACTCTTGTTAAGATTGTTCTACTAAATGATTCTCAATCAACCAAAAGGAGAATTTAATACTTTTGACATTTCATTATCTTTCCGCCAGTTGATTTTACAATTGTATACTTCTACTAAATTAATTGTTATATTGCATTTATAAATAATAAAAAAAAGACTAAAGATGACTCATTTTATCTAAATGAAAACAGATATGTATATAAAAACTATATATTGTACTATTTCAAAGATACCATACACAAGAACAAAGATTAAATATAGCATACGTTGACTTTTTATTGCAAGCGTAACATTCATCAATAGATTTACTTATTGACTTTTTCTTCTTCTCTTTTGAATGTCTATCAATATTTTAAAACGCAACTAGGCTTATGTATACAATCGAAAATGTTAGCTGGAATTATTGCATTCTTATTATCGTTTTCGACGATTTGCAATTGCAACATTTTTTAAATGATATTCGACTTCTACTCGAACAATTTTTTTCTTTTTTGCAACCTATGCGAAAAAATCTTTTTTCTGTTTTCTGCATAATAGTCTAAACATACTGTTTTGCAGACATTTGTTTTAATTGTCTTACAACTCTCGATGAATATTACTTCTACTGAAATAATCGCTTTAGTTCTAAATCTAGTAATGAAGATCATAAATCTACAATATGTTAGAAAAATCTTTGAATGAATGTATACTTAATTATTATATTCACTCAAAGTTTAATTCAGAATTCAATGCTTTATGAAGTAGTATATAAATTTATCATCAAACCATGTATATATACTCTTTTTACAGTGAAAAAAATTTCATTCTTAAAAGTTATCAAGCATCCTATCTGATAACATTGCTGAAAGTTTTACATAAAATTATCCTAATTTAGAATGTGCCGAGCGAGTACGTTTATTTAACTAAATAATTTATTCTCTTCACGTCACTACTAAACAAAAATGTATCACGAAGTTTTACATAGAAAAGAGAAAATGATTGTTGATTTTAGTTTTTATAATAGAGAGAAAGTCTTAGTATGTTTTATCTTTCTTTCTATGTAAGTTTCTCTTCGTTTGAATGATGTCAGCAAGATAACGGAAGAATAACAACGCAAATAATTTTCATTTTGCGTCGATCTTTTTTAGAACGAAATCATATGTTTGTCGTTCATAAGACACAGCATAAATAAAACGCAAAGAACACTCGAAATATGCACGAGAGTCATCCCTAAAATAATTTTCATTAAGCTAAGTTTATTACAAAAAACTTTCGTGATGCTTTTTAGTATCGAAAAATATTATCTTCATATAGAAATATTCTTTGATGTTAATGATTTCGTGAATTATTATTTTCTATGCCTTGTTATAGATTGAATATATTTATCTTTGTATTATATTAACAAACATAAGAGAAATTTAATGCAAAAGAAAAACAAAATATAATGACCACCATTACTTAATTGAAATTGTATTCTGAACAATTTATGATGGAATAGATGAATATAATTTGAATCATGAATTTTTCAAACTATCAATTTTACAGTAAGCATATCAATCACACTTCTATAGTAGATATAACTAATGGGAATTAATTTTATTTTTTGAGCCATATCGAACATCTTTTATCTATCTCGGTATAAATAATTATATTGTTAAACAAAGTCAATTAATCATCTTCTTTTTTTTTGTTTTGAGTGATACATAAATCTTATTCAAGCGAATGAAAATACTCATTAATCTTTTGAAATTTAATAAAATAAGATGAAGACAATGTCTTGTACTTATGCAACTGTTCTAGTTGATAAAGGCATAAACAAGGCTGTCCTTGGTCGAGATGCCATTCAGCAATTATTCTCAAATCATATGTATACAAGAATTAAAATATTCTGTATTAATCATATTGACATAAAAGAGAATATCTTAACTAATGTTTTATCTAACATGAGCCTGACACCTCTCTTCGAAGATGAGGTTTGCTTTTCTAAAAGAGAAAATCAGAATAAAAAACTGTCCTTAGTTAAAACTATTGATTTAATTCTTATGGTAAGTATTCCACCATGTGATATTAAAATATCATCTACATATTGTGCATTTTCGGAATATGATCTTAGAAATTGTATCTCAATTTTTGTCCAAAAATAGTGTGATAATCTTTAAAAGATCCCAAAAAGTGAATTTGAACAGAAAATTTCTGATATAAATGGTTGCTCATGTTAATTTACTTGAGAATATCTCAATTAAACCACGAACAAAGAATGGTGATCAGAATTTTATGGCCTCTTGGAATATGAAATCAGAAGTATTGTATCTTTTTTTTATTCGAGATTAGTGAAGAAATTTTTCAGAAGCTCAAAAAATTAGATTGAATCGTAAATCAATAGGCTTCGGCTAATACCTATAAGTTCCTTTTCGAATATGTCAAGAATTATTGTGGCCGGTTATTTTATCAACGGAACACTTCTTTACAAAATTTTATATTGAACTAAGCTGTGGCTTTTACCTAAGTGAAACTATAGACACGTTGCTAAGAATTTCTTTCTAAACAAAACGCTTTTTCATCAAAAGTCAATGTTGCAAAAATAAAACTTTAAGAGCAACGGAAATTGAAGTAAACTGTAGAAAAACTTCAATAGTACATTTTATAAGGTAGCTTAAGGAAAAAAGTTTCCGCCCAAATTATTGATTATCTCAAGAAAATTTCTAAGCCTACATTTGGAAATAGCACAAAATTCCGATGATAGTGAATGAAGAATTTTGGGAAATGGGAGAGCGGCGGTGGGGGGGGGGGGGGGGGGGACCGTAGTCAAGAAGCATCTTTTGAAGTGTATTAGAGGTCACTTTCTACTGAGAAAAATATTTCGAGAGGGCGAGGCTATTGCCCTTGTGTTCACTACTGGGATATTGAATATGTTTGCCTTCCAAGGATCCACAATTTATGATAGACCTTCCAAAAAAAACTATCGTTCTCCTTTCTAAATAAAAAAAAAATTCCCTTAGCATTTTGCTTTTTTCTTTTTTTGTGGTATTTTATTGAGTTTAAATCTATGACCTCAGTTTTGTTTCTATGAAGATTTTTTTTCATTGGCTCATTTCAACCATTTATTCCTTTCATTCCTCAATGTTGATGGTATTTAATAGATCCAGTTGTCAGCACATATCAATTATCTCAATGTCATTTTGACAGATCGTTACATAGTGCATAGAAGTGTTAGAAAAATTGACCATTAATAAAACATCGAACACTATAATATATAAAAGAAAAACGAGCCCTATTCATTGCCTTCTTTTGTTTCTCGTTTACATGTTTTTTTTATTGATTATTTGTGAGATGATAATCATTGAATAAGTTTTATATTTATCAAAAAGAAAAACTCTACTTAAAACGTTTCTGTCACAGACTTATTTTCATTATATTCTTTCTTTATTTTATAAAATATAAACAATAAAAAACAAAAAAAAAAAAAAAAATAAACAAATTTAGTTTTATTTTACCAATAGATTCAATGTAAACAATACACAAGAAGGTTTTTTTCTATTGATTCATCTGTTTCATATTTCTTTCATCATCCATGTCTCATGTAAGTGATTTAGTTATAGAAGATTAACTTGAACTATATCATTTATATGTTTAGCTCGAAGGTTCAGAATGTATCGAAGCCTTAATACCATTTGTCAAATCATTTGCATTTACATGGTTTAATTTACAAGCAGCAAAACGTCGATATCAAAAACAACATGAAACACCAATGCCTATCGAGATGGAACGAGTGATGAAGGAAGATTTTATGGTTTGTAACACATAAATATTAGTTAAATAGATTTTAATTTGTTAATATTCATTATGTTTTAGAATCAACGTTATGCGGATAAGATTAAATGGACAGTTCGCATATTGGCAAAATTACGAAAGGATATAAAACGTGAATGTCGTGGTGATCTTGTTAAAACAATAACTGAAGGAAATATTCAAAGTCCATGTATTATATCGAATGCTGATACAAAAAATAAAATGCGTCGTATTGATTGTTTACGTCAAGCTGATAAAGTCTGGCGACTGGATGTTGTTATGGTTGTACTATTTCGTGGTAAAGATCTAAATTATAAAGGACCTTGGTGGATAAAATGAATATCCTTCATTTGAAAAGTCACATATATCGTTTTGTAAAGTAATAGGTAATTACTTTGTCATTAAGTTTTAAGAAGTCATATACGAGGTAAGGTATATTATTGCAATTGGGGATGATAAAACTAAATATTAGAATTTAGTATGTCATCAAAAGAAACTTTATCAAATTTTGTTTCAAATTACTTCAATAGAGTTTTGTCGCGTCTTCAATTGTCGATATCTAATAATACTCACAGAAAATCTTAAGATCATTACCGGTGTTTGTACTTTTTGATGTTTTAAATTCTTGGATACTGCTTCTGAAGGCAAAAGCGAACAATTATGAAACTTTCTTCTGAATTGTTGTGCAGTTGTGGTCAAATTGGCTAATAAATGCCTAAAATATGTCAATTTTTCAATTCATAAGGACGGAAAACTATGTGATTTTTGAGTAAAAAAAACCTTCTACTTGTTAATAATGAGTTCATCATGCCCTGTCATTGAACATACATAGGGCTTCTGAAAAGGGCAAAAAAACATTTTTGCTTTCAGCTTCCTGGAGAAGAGTACAGGAATATGTACAAATTTTTAATTCTAATAAAAAACTGAACATATACTTGGAATCTAAATTCGTAAGAAGTGGAATAAGATAAAAACTAATCTATGCAATCGTTTATTCCCGTACCCACCTCCAAGGACCTGAAAACGAAAATCTTTTTTTTTGCATTTTCGGAAAATCTATACATCTCAAATGATATCTATCTTTAGGAATCAGAAACTAGACCTTTTTAGGCATTTATTAACCGATTTGCTTGTAACGGACAAAAATGTAAAGGATAATCACTCTAGAATTATAGAACTTGGTGATATACAATTTCTGAGAAAGTTCCACCGTTGCTTGCCGTTGTCTTGAGTAGCAGTATCCTAAAGTTTAAAACATATAAGTTAATAAAAATGACAAAATTCTATTGAAGTAACTTTAAACACCTACACCTTACCTCTTTGATAAAAAAAAGTGCTTTTCTCTTACGGTACGAGTTGCTCTAGAATACTGTATAGGTGACTATTCAAATAAAGGGTAATCATGTTATTCGACAGGGTCATTTTAACTGAAATTTATTTGTAAAAAGGAATTCCATTGGAAAGTACGGATGGTGAACGATTAAGTAAATGTAAAGAATGTAAAAATCCAGCATTATGTATTAATCCATATCATGTTGTTATACATGTAAAAGAACTTGAAGTGTATCTTGTAAATTTTATAAATAATGCACGTAAGTTCAAATGATCAAAGATTTAAACATAGATTTTTTTTTTGTTTGTTGAATTATTCATAGAATCGTCACCGGCGAACATCATTCCAAGTGTGTTTTCTACCAGTGAATTACAACACATGGCAAACAGTATGTATCAAAAGAGAACTGACGAGGAAACATTCCCAAGTGATTTACTTCGTTGTTCAATATGTAAAGTAGCGTGACCTCCGAAGGTTTTCTATTCATGTTTAAATTTAGTCGAGATGATGACTTTTTAGTGAATTTATTCTGTAGAAATAGTACAGTTTTTTGAAAAAAATTTATATTTGCGAATTTCGACCTGAAACTTAGTATATGAAATAGTCTAATAGAGTCTTTTGCTGAATTCCTACACATATTAGCAAGTAAACCGAATCATTTGAGAATATTCTCTCGGAGGAATACATGTCAAAATCTTGGCCTTATCTGTAAAAAGAAGAGACATTATCTTCATAATGAAAGGTATATTTTTTGGCTGCTTTTCATTTAATTTGGAAAATCATAAAAAAGTCAAAAGTTATATTTTAAGGATCTTTAATTTTAAATTCATTCATTTGAAACATCGTCATGAGTCTCTGATCTATGGCGCAAAAGTCTTGGCATAAGATATTCGCTCAGAAGCATTTTTTTTTGTCCTACGTCGATTTACATAGAAACTAACTGTTGAGTCGAAAGTTGGAAATATTTCAAGACGCAAACTACGAACTATGCCGAAGACGTTATTTAATAATTTTGATTTCGAAAAATGAGCGAAGGTTTTCAAACAATACTTTGCTCAAATAGTAGAATTATTTTATTTTATTAAATCGAAACTAAATTTCTTTATGATTCTTTTCTTTAGGTTCGATCAGTGAAGGTGGTTCAACAAAAGAAGTGCTGGGAGCAGATTATCTTGGTTCAATGTTAAAAATGGAAACTGATGATTATGCCGAGGTACAACCAATAGCAACTGTACAACAACCTGATCTATTGAAAATGTGTCGAAATAGGTATGAAACAAAAAACAATCATTTCATGCATTATTCAATTTAATCTTTATAGGAAGCCAAGTCTATCAGGTAGTCCTCGTACAGCTAAACGACGTCGTACATTAAACAATACATGTTCCGCTGATGAAAGTGATAGTCATGATGTCAGTGATGGACCAGGTAATATATTACAGTAAAGAAAGGAATGGGTGATAACTTTCGAAAATGGTTCCCTCAAGGAACTTGATTTCTTCCATTTCAAATTATTACTCAAGGTGTCCAAAAATGAGTCCTAGTACATTGTGCTGTGCGCAGATCGATTGAAGTAGTCAATGGCTGTCATATATGCATTGAACTCGATTGTTGATGATAGTAAACACTTACCAAGTACTTCAAAATGGTATGAGAAAAAAAAAACATAGACCATAACAAGAAATCTGAAGGAAACTATTCTCGACATACGATTCGGATAAAAACTGATATGATTTTCTGAATCCGCACCTAAAACTGAACGGACTTTGGTGTATTTCAAAAATTTTCGCAATCTGTTTTTCGTCGAAAAATACACCCGTAGTCCTCCTCATCCTTAGGATTTAGTCAAAAAATAAATTTCATAAAAACTCTGCTTTTATTATTTATTCATCTGCTGTTTGGGGTTATAATATTATTTTATAACCTTAGAACTTGATTCTCACTGTCAAAATAACTTTTTGATGCAATTTATCATTTTTGACTCAACCCTGAGGGGGAGGCCACGGACGAATTTTCTATGGAAAAAAAAAAGATTACGAAAATTTTTGAAATACACATAGATCTACTCATTATTCAATACTGATTCAGAATATCATACTAGTTTTCACCTCGGAGTATTTTGAAGCCATTAAAAAGTACTATCCAATCATATGAATTACTAGTTCTTGACTATTACAATCGTTCGAGATAAAGCATAAACGAGTCTTATATGTTTAATTCTACTATGGATCACTTTCAGACAACTTAAGTGAGAATTACATGATAAAAATCATATTTCTGTCGAGAGTCAATTTCATCAGTTATCGCCTTCTCTCCCTCCTTTACATTCTTAATCAATACTTTTAATATTTCAGTTCCGACTTATGATGTATATGAATCTAAAATTCAATCATCAACTAACACTGAACCTTCCACATCATCCTCAACATGTCGTATATCATCAACAAATGATTCAAATACATATTCGAATTTTCCACAACAAGATGATATAAATGCTCTACCAAAATCTATTATAGAATCAAATAAAATTGAATCATCAACACCACGTCCACCATTTTCTCAAATAGGTATTCATAATCATGTATCACTTAATTTACATTTTAATAATCAACAACAACAACAACAACAACAACAACAACAACAGCAACAACAACAACCACAAAAACCATTACCATCATCAACAACATCTCAACAAACAGCTGATTCAAAATTAATATCCGAACGTTTTATTGAATCACTTGTACAACGTTTTAATAATACACAACAACATCAACGTACATCTTCACATCCGCATACAATTGAATATTTTCATCAAGATCCACAGACAGAACGAACATCTAATAGTCCAAAAACATCATCAAATAAACTTTTTCCGAAACCATTACCAACAACTGCAATAAATATATTATCATCACGTGAACGACCTATTACAACAACAACAACAACATCATCAAATTACGATACATCTTATGCTCAATCACAAACAAATGAATTTAAAGATAATAAAACAAATATAAATAATGATAATAATGTTATGCGTTTATCATCTGCAGCTGATCGAGTATTACCAGCATTTCATACATTTTCTGAATTAAAAAGTTATTTGCAAACTATTGGATTAGATGTTGAATTAGTACCAGCATCAAATACAACAGCAACAGCAGCAGCAGCAACAACAACAACAACGACAACAACAAATATTCATCAACAATCAAGAAATATTGATCCTATTCAACAGAGATTATCAACAAATGAACAACAATATCAAATACGTTCGAATACAGTTAATATTTCACAAACACCACAACAACCACAAATTGTTATGTTACCTAATAATATTAATAATCGAAACTCACTTAATGATGATGGAAAATGTAATCGATCCAGTAAGTTTACACTTCTTTTTTTTTTTTATACAACTTGCATTACAAAAGTTTCTTTTTTCGACAAGCTTTTGCAAAAATATTCAAATTTCTTAAGTATCATCTTTCAATCAATAATGCACTGATGTATTTGATTAAAATATGTCATGGAAATAATGTTTGAAATAGGCCGTTAATAGATACTCAAACCATGTATAACATCAAATAGCTGTTGTTAATATTCAAGTTTTAATAGCAGAAAGAATTCATATGAAATTAGATCTACCGAACCATATTCAATCAATATTTACTTTCATATGATTTCGGATAGAAAATTCCTTGTAAACCTAAAATGTTCATGATCAAGTATCATTGAAATCTAAAGTTTGTTGATCCGATTATGTCTGGACCAAAAGGACATAACTTTCCGTGTACGCTGAATACAGTCCGACAGTTCAGGATCTGAAAGTTTTGAATCCGATAGGCTCTCGTCATCTGACAATTGTGTAGGATGCAATAGTGATCGAATTATAAAAAAAGTCTCATATCTTCGGGGAGACTGTCCAATTCCGATTGAGAACATCACAGTACGTGTAAAAACAGCAGTGACGTATCGAGGATTTTTCAGTATGCTGAATCTCGACTTCCGAGTGTGGGACCCAGATGAAACTCATGGAGGGTGATGGTGGGTCCAAATGATGGAATTTTATCAAAAAAAATTTGCACTCGGAATTTGCGAAAAAAATTAGCATTTTCCTGATCCCCCCTCCTAGGATTTTTTACTGTTAGTATTATCTTGGTTTTGAGAATTTCATAGGAAGCTATACCGAATTTCATCGATAGATTTTAAATTTCGTCTAAAAATGTGCAACCGTTCAAGAGTTATGATGTTTTGAAATTTCGAAAAAATTGTTTCCACAGGGGGCAAAAATTCAAAAAGTTATAACTCTTGAATGGTTACATATTTTTAGACGAAATTTGAAATTTATCGATGAAATTCTTTATAGCTTCCTATGAAATTCTAAAAATCAAGATACTACTAACAGCAAAAAATCCTAGGAGGGGGGATCAGGAAAATGCTAATTTTTTTCGCAAACTCCGAGTGAAAATTTTTTTGATAAAATTCCATCATTTGAACCCAACATCACCCTCCATGAGTTTCATCTGGGTCCCACACTCGAAAGTCGAGATTCAGCATACTGAAAAATCCTGGATACGTCACTGTCAAACAGGTCCAAAAGTTTTCGATCCAAGGACTCTAACGTTAAACCAATTTTCTGTTTATATAAAATCATTGGTAGAAATCGTTCTCGTAAGTCGTTTAAAACATAATTTATGACTATTTTGAAAGAAATACATGTACAAGACTTCAAGATCTGAAATTTTTGACATAAACTTGAATATGTCTATGCGTTAAAGCAGAATACTTGACCAACTATTAGAAGAACTGTACGAAAAAACTTTTGTAATGTCCTAGAAACAATAATGATCTCTTTCGAAAGTAAAACTTCCTTTTTTTTAGCTTCAATAAGTGTACCACCAAATGTTCTGGCAGAAAAATTACTTGAATATGCATCAAGTACATCATCTATTCGTCATTCAAATCTTTTATCTCGTACTTCATCATTATCTTCTCAACAGCAACTACATCAACAACAACAACAACGTCGTTCTCCATCAAAACCACCTATTGTTTCTGATATAGCTAATCTTTTATCTGTATCAAATAATAATCCTAAAGATCAACCAATTGTTCAACAAGTTACTCGTCAAACACTTCTTCCACCTCCACCACCACCTCCACCTTCATCTGCACCAACAACAACTGTTTATCATCGTATAACATCAGCAGATAAAGTTTCAACTATGGTTAAACGTGATCTTATTCATGATGATGTACATTTACATGATCGTGAAGTTGAAGAATATATGAATATGGCAACAACAGGTCGTACATCAAAACAACGTAAAACAACTTCTCAAACAATCAATGATTCAACAACAAAATCCATTGTTTTAGAAAGTGGTTCAGCTAGTAATAGTAATGATAGTAATGTTTCTTCGACATCCTCATCTTCATCTTCAATTAATAATTCTACAAATAATAATAATAATAATAATAACAATAATAATCATACTAATAATAATAACAATAATAATATTGGTTTAACAAATAGTATTAATAAAACGAAAAATAATTCGACAATGTCAAGTCAAGATTCACGCAATATATGTGATTTATTATTAATGTTATATGAACAAGAACGTACACGTAGTACACAATTACAAAAACAAATTGAACAAGTTAGTAGACAACAACGTTCAAGAAATTCAAGTGGACAATCACATTCAAGTGAATCACAAACTGGCTTAGAAACACCACAAGGAACAAATAATGGAAATACAAATTCATCAAGAATGTTAAGTCCAGCTGCATGGATATCAACAACAGGAAAAGAAAAAACATCAGTTCATATTCAACAAAATCATCATCAAACATTAAAATTTGATTCATCAACATCAATGAATGGTTCACCACCTGAATCACAAGATGTATATGAATTTTTCTTTCTTTTATTATTATTATTTTATATTTAAATATTTAGTGTTCACCACCTGATCCAAATAAAAGTGGTTTAAGTCCAACGAAAGTTGTACAATTTTCACAATCAATTGGTTCAGCACAAAATCTCATTCCACGACCCGTACCAATGTTAGCAACTAATGATGGTCTTGTACGTCATACATCATCATCATCATCATCACATACTGCTACACCAACTGGATCGACTAGTTCATCAAATAATGGTTTTATTTATTTGAAAATATTTTCTTATAAATTATTTTATTTATCGTTTTTAGGAGTTCTTTATACACCAGGAAATCGCATTTTTCAAAGCCCACTTGGACAGGTATTTTGTTATTTAATAATTAAAATAACGACTATGTCGAAATAGTTATTAGCTCAATCCCTATGTGGCTTAAATTGTAAAATATGATATACCTACTATTGTGTACTAAAGAGAGATTGTTTTATGCTATTCGATACAAAATTCTTCGTCATCTTTTTGCTTAATTACCCATTAATGCAATAGGGAGGGTCTCAAACCCAATAGTCTCTAGTCACAGTCTGTAGGATGAGTTCAAATTTTTACTCCTATACTTTATCGCTTTCTGTAGATTGTTTTACAAAAGTTCGATTTATTTTGTTGAAGTCTAGTGAAGAAAAATGATGATTTCTGATTTTAAATCTTTTTTTTTTGTCTATAGGCATTTGCGGCATTAAGTCCTGCTTTAAGTCCATTTTTATCACCTTCAACTAGTCGTGCTGGTACACCCAGTGAATTAATGATAATTCCTGCTGATTTACTCAATGTACTGAATAGTCGTATTTGGAGTGAAGACGAATTATTACAAGCATTTGTTAATCATTTAGATTCGGGTGGTGTGTAATCGTGTTTTTATTTAATTTCTATTTTGTCAATTACACATAATTGAGTATCGCTCATGTATCGCTGAAACATTTAAAAAATGTATCGTTGCGACATTAAGCTTTACTCATAAAGTGTTCTATTTGTAATTCTAGGTTTTCAACAACAATGTCAACAACAATAAAATTGTCGTGTTCTTTTTTTTCTGTTTATATTCTGAAAACAAAAAATTTATCCGATATGATTTGTTACTTAGCATTGACATATAAACAAATATGATCATGTATCTCATTTATATTGTATAAACAAGATTTATAGTGATAAACAGTATTTCTGTATGTTTAACATTTTGTATCCGTCTTCCAAAGAATAAAAGACAAATGACTGTATTCAATGTTTATAAATATATATATATATATTCATATGTTTGCATTTTTTATTAGATGCTTGAAATATTGGCTCATATGAGCTGTGTTTCGACATCTCTAATGGAAGAATTTTAATTTTTTTACATCTTAATTTAATTTAATTTTTATTTTTATCATAAGTAGGTTCAGGTCGTCGATCTCGAGTTAATAATGAAGAACCTAAACAACAGGGAAAGCCGACAAGTGTAACAAATAATAATAATAATAATAATAATGGTAATGGTAAAACCAAAAGTATTGAAAAATAAGCAGCGAAAAGTTTCGGATTATTCTTTTTGTAAAATTGGTACATGTTGTCTGTTTGCTGTGTAGTGCTTCTCATATATATCACCCTTTTTTTTGTATATCGAGTAATTTTTTTTTGTAGTTAGAGAAAAGGGGAGCATTGATTTTTTGTTTTGTTTTTTTTTTTCTTTTTCTTTTTTAATTTCATGGTTTGATCAGAAAAAGAGAGTTTATATAAGTCTCTCTTGTCAGATAAAGTGCAACATAAACGCTTTGAATACGTGAGAGAGCGAGAAAGAAAGAGAGACATTCTTTCGTTTTGTTTTTCTATATATGTGTGACTCATTTTTCATTCAATCTCACTATGTAGTAGTACTCTTTTTTTTTTCGATGTTGTTCATTTCGAAAGTAATCGAATTAGACGATGCTTTGCCAATTGTGAGTTATGTTTTTGTTGTTGTCTGTCATGTCGATCGTCTGTCGTGTTTTGTTTTTTTGGCATAAACTATTTAATCGGTATTAAATATTATTTTACCCAAAATAAAATTGATGGAAAAAAAAATGTTTGAGTTTTATATGATCAGTTGGCTGCTAGAAGCAAAACTTTTCGTGAACAAAAAAAAACTTTTCAAAATAAAAATGAATCATTTTTTTTAAAAATATATATAGGATGGTTCATAAATAACTAGACAATAACAAAAAACTCCGAATCTTTAATCTTCTTCAATGAATCGGAATTATTTTTTACCTCGGTGACAGAAAATTCTTCTAAATTTTTGTTAACAAAGAAATCGCTAATAGATGCTGTTGTGAGCTAGAACTTCTGACCACACTACTGGACGAAAGTATCTCGCTGTGATCTCAACTGTTCTTAAAAGGACACCGCCGGATAAGTTCGTGAATGTGCCACCCCCCTAGATCTCATCTTCAATAGAATAGAAAGATAGAGCATAAACTTTTGCACATTTCTGTCTATTTATTTTGGTTTTTGCTGAATGCAAAAAAACAATTTCGTGGACCAAATAGGCTGGGGGGTCTATCGCTTTGGACATTTCGAATAATAAGTATGGTATCTATAATTTTTTTCTGTTGTAAATCCAATATGAAAACTAATAGCGTAGATCGACTTAGTTTTGTATGCTCTACAAAATGACGTACTGATCAGATTTACCATTAGCTTCTCTCTTAGATTATGTAAGATCATATAGTTGCGATTCTCATATCACAG